GCATACTCCAGCACACTGGCCGAGAGGACTTTGGATGAATTTTGCATTCTGCGCCGTAAAAGAGAGAGAGAGGAAGGAAGAACATTAAAATTTTTGTTTTGTTTTTCTTTAGAACCTCACGCTTACAGCGCTTATTATAATATTATTATTATCATTATATTAAGCGCAAAAGAGCCTAGAAAGAAAAGCCCAAGAGCGAAAAGCTCCTCTCTCTCTCTCTCTCTATTTTAACGGCACAGCTGCATAAGCCACGTTACATCGCAGCTGAAGTACTTAAACATACTACTGCGGCGGTGGCAGCCGAGGGCAACAACGGCAGCCCTCGTTCCCTCGCTAGCGCGCGTTTCATTCATTTTAACGGCCAAGTAATTTGCAACTTTTTAGTCCGCGAGATGGTGCTTCAATTGTGTGGAACTGAAATGATTATCTCTCTCTTTCGCTCGCTATGCTCGTTCTGCTTATGACTTACTGCTGCTGCACGTCTCCTCTTCCCTCTTTTTGTGTCTGCGCGCAAGCAGCAGCTATAAAGAGAGAGAGAGACGAGCGCGAAAAAACTTTCAAGCCTTTGCTTACCATCAGCAGACGCGCGCACAGATATCGGTATACATTATGCGCGCGTACTCCGCACGCTAAAGACGTGGACGCGGCTCGAATGGAATTTTCATTTTAATCATAGTTTGGAAGGCCGAACTTTCGTCGTATTATTATATATCTTGCGCGCTCTTCCGCCTCATCTCTTCGATATAAAGTTTCGCCTGCCTCGTGCTGCGTATTAAATAATCTTGGTGAAAAATCTCTCGCTTTTTCCCCGAGATGTATTATATAATATAACGTGCCGGAGCTTTCGCTGCTCGCGTTGCCGAGTCCTGACGACGCGGGCGACGCCGTTCTCTCTCGCTCGCTATATACGTATGGAAGGCAATTCGGTGGCAAGCAGCGGCAAAAATGAGCGACAAAAGCAGTTTATATTATATAAACGGGGATCGAGCTCGAGCTCGAGCGAACTTTTGTCGGCACCACTGCTGCTGCTGCTGCTGCTGCTGTTCTAGCTTCCATGCGAACTCGTTTTTCGCATAGAGCGCAGTGCGCGCGAAAGCACATTCGTATTATATACATCTATGTGTATACGCTATTACTATGTACGCTGAAGCTAGAAGGAGGCTCACCATAAGGGGCGGTGGGAAATAATAACGACGACGACGTCGACGTCGCACTGCGCCGCGGCTTCGTACTGGTACATGTGCTGTATATATATACACAACACACAGGCAGAGCAGATATATACAGAGAGAGAGAGTAAACGAGGAGTTCAACGACCTCGGCTCGCGTTGCTACTGCCAGTGCTATATAGTCAACAGCAGCAGCAGCGGCGGCGGCGACAGCGACGGTGGTAGGCTGCAGTAGGGGGATGATGTTCAACTCTCTCTCTCTCTTTTGCTCTCGCAGGCTCTGTCTCTCCTGCCGACTCTGCTCTGCGCTGCTGCTGCTGCTGAGCAGGCGGGCGGGCATATCCTTCCCACCATATCGTGTGCGGGCCGTAGATATTATATACCTATACTACTGGTACTAGTAGTAGTACTACTGCTGCTGCTGCCGCTACGTACTACAAGCCACCCCCTTTTGGGCGTCTAGCCAGGGTCGGGGTCGTTGAACGTCGATAAAGATTTTGCGAGGCCGACAATGCCACCGTCGGCGGCGGCGGCGGCGCGATTCGTTATATGTATATATAGCAGCAGCAGCACCACCACCAGCGTCGCCGCGACCACTACCACCATCGCTACCACCGCCGCTGCGCGCTATATAGCGTATATACTTTTTCTTCCGTTGCGTCGCGCTCGTTTCTATTACACCCATTTATATATGTAGGTACTCTGCTGCACACATACACATACGCATACACAAACGTAGATCTTCTTGCGTGGTTTTTCTTTTATTTATCTCTTTTCTCTTCTTTTCTTCGGCTCGGCTCCTTTTTTCATTCATATATATCGTATATATATTTCTTTCGATTCTTATTTTTCGCGAGAGAACTGTTGCGGCTATTCTTCCGCTCGAGTCGATGTATCGTCGCGCTGGCCTTTCAAATGTATATATCTATATATATTTTTCGTCCGATCGACTGGAAACGTTCGATTCGGAAACGACTGTCCATGTGGGTGTGGGTGTGTGTATGCAGGGAAGAGAGAGATGGAGAGATGCTGCAGTTCAAAGGGAAGCTGCAGGGCTGATTGGCTGGGCCGCTGTGCCGATACCGCATTTTGGGAGGGATTTTCACTCGTCGATGTGTGTGCTACATGCGTAGGTGTCTGTGTGTTTCGACGTACACCCTCTGCCTACATTATACATACATACACATACGTGCATCTGTGCATACGCAGAAAAGGAGGAAAATTACGTATGCATGGATATGTATGCACGTTGGCGCAGTACCACTACCACTGCTAATTTTACCATATAATACAACTGCAGGGAATCGTGAACGAGCGAGCGAATTTGCGTTCATTGCGATAATCGCATTTGTAAAACCATCTCACGCTTTGGCTGCCCGACGCGACCGTTTCGATGACAACTCTCGAAATCCTCGCTCTCTCTCTCTCTCTCCCTATATATTGATATTGCGTCCATCCAACCCAGCGATCGTCCCGTTGCATGTAGCTACGGATAGAGACGCGTATACACTTTTAGCCCAAGCATGTGCAACGAGATCGAGCCTTACTTTACATGATCCACGAGTAATTTATCGGGCCTCGGCTACGGTCGAAAAACGCCAAGCGGATTTTGACAGTCGTACGCGTACAAACGCTCGAGGTATTATCGTAAAACGCGAATGGGATATATTCATTAAAAACGAACCACGAAGAAGCCGTTCGCACGGGATTAACCCGAGTATATTTTATTAATTTTTCAGAGCCACGCGGAGGGACGACGAAATTGCGGAAATTAAAATAACGCGAGTTCACGAGAGAGCGAGTGAGTCACTCGTCAGTGCAGAGAGGAGAGCTCGATGCGTCTCTGTATTATATACTGTATAAGCTAAATACGATGTAATTTATTCATGCACCGCTCGAATAATTCGACGAGTACAAATTGACGAGATTGAAATCTGTCGATAATGTACACATACACACGTACATCTATTTATGTACTATAAACGGCCCGAATGACGACCACATTTTCGCAAAATTAGTTTCTATTTAGTCGGTGCGAGCTCTGCACATTCATCGACGAGAACTTTCTCAAAACGTCACCCGCATATTTAATATACAGGCATGCGTTGACGCACGACTCCGATCGCAATGATCCGGAGTGGAAAGCGTGGCAACGAACGACCTAACGCGTATAGCTGCTGTGCAGCACATGTGCCACGAGACTAGATCCGCGCGCAGTAGTAATAATAATAGTCGACGAGGACTGAGAGAGAACCGAATTAAGGTACTATATACACACTTGCATCAGAGAGTATACAAATCGTCATGAGCGTAAACATTAATGTACATAATAGATAGACGTGAATGTGTGCAGCATCAGCATCGGTAGTCGAGATGCGCGCGGCTGATGGTCTTTAAAACGACGCGACATTACAATGCCATTCACACGACGACGACAACGACAACGACTTGCCGCTCTACTGTCACTGTCTCAATACAAGTGTGTATGTGTGCGAGTGCATATATACATTTATGTATACACGCGCACGGCATGTATATGGCGCGCATTGAATGTGCACATGCCTCGTGCATTGTGATATTTAAAGGCAAGAAGAGGCTATATACGAGCCTCAACGGCCAATTGCGTTTACATATCATACGTACGCCTCTCGTATCTGCGCCGCCGCTCTGAATTCATAACGTCCAATATTCGCTTTATTATCGTGTGTGTATATACACGTCTCGTTATTATTATCTCTGCCGTCGATAAAGCATAGCTGGGCCAGTTGGCTTATTTTTCCTCATTGTACTATTTCATTTTATTTTTATTATTTCAGCTGGAAATTTGCGCAACACTCCGGGCATCGAGCAGAACGGATATAATCTATGCAAATATAGATAAATTTGATTTAACGAACTGGGCTCCAAGGACATTTATACTGCCCGGCTGCATGGGAATTCAGATAAGCCGAGAGAGAGAGCGAGTATAAGCGTTGGTGCTGCAAATACATATATCTATGTATACATGCAGAAAGAGAGAGAGAGGATCGATCGATGCCCGAGCTTGGAAAAACCAGACGCTATCTGCGTGTACCTGCACAGACGTACACACGCAGCCTATGCCGCTACCATTCCGCACGTGCATACATGGAAAATTCAAACAATACCACGGCACACGTACATGGGCGATCGTATGAAATATAGGAGCGATTGTACATTCGAGCCAATACCTGCCCACTCGCGACTTCTCCGCATAAAATAACTCGCTGTCTCGTTCGCTCTTGCGACATTTCTCCATGCGGGGCCAGGCCAGCGACACAGCGCTCGCGTTCGACAACATATCCTTATACCGAATCGTGCGAACGAATATTATATAGACTTGCTTATCGCGAGTTCGGCTCTCGAATGTGCCTCTCGATTATTTCGTAGACTTATTGGAATTAAAATGGTGTTTAAAAGAATTTATTTAAGCACGACACCGGCCGGTGAAACGGGAAATAAGTCATTTGATATAATTACTGTGATGAGCGATAAACGTGTCGCATGAAAAATTCTATTTTATTTGATAGATTGATGTCAACATAAGATGAACAATCGATTAGTACTGTTTACTAACTATTCAATAAACACCTGTCTAATTTTTACAATTTGTTCGTTGAATGGAACTGTTTGTGTTGGAATCAAGAGCCCATTAGTATTGTTTTTTTAGATATTATTTCTTACTCATATGTTTATGATACTCCATCAAAGTATAAATCAAAAAATAAAATATACTGACAGTGCCTATTCATTAAACTCATGTTTACGGGGTGTTCCCAATACGCTTTATACTATCATAAATGTGATTCTTACCTTACTGAAATAACCAACAGTGTGACAGCCTTCAGAATCATTAAGTGTCATTACGTAAAACAGAAAAGGTTCCACGTCATAATACAATGTCTTATGGTCCAAGAAAAATTTAGCTAAAAGACAAAGATTTTGACAGTAGAGTTTGTATCTTTTTCCGTCTACTTCCCACACTCCTATTTTTTCTTTCCTGTAATTGAATATTTATCAATGAAAATAATCTGCTTGGATGACAAAGATTACACACTGAACCAAGGATAAAAATTAAAATTGTCGAACACGTTCACTGACATAATAGCAATCATTTTTCTATAAATTTTAATTAAACATGAATGTTCCCAGAGCGACAAAACGAATATTTAGTAGAAATTGACGCTTTTAAATTTCATCCTTGCTTTCTCGTGTTACGTTAATTAAAAATTGAACGTTATATTTACCGGTAAACTTCGTGACCGGGCGGATGCCTCCAAACACATTTTTCTTTGTGCCTCCGAGAGACTTGTGGACTTTTGGCGTATCTCAGACAATATTCACATAAGTAGAGTTTTGGTGCACGACTGAACTCCTCTGGATAAGGACTTTGATACCATACCTCCATTTCCCATTTTCCCATTTCTATACAACGCGTGCCGCTGCTCCTACTACCCTCTTTATCATTGTCCAACAAGTCCTTGAGATCTTTTTCCTAAGTGTATGAAATATTTTTATGACGGAAATTTTTTATCATAAACAATTTTTCAAGATAGAAAATAAACTGGGTATTACGATTTTCTCGCTGGACGCAGCTTGAGCTTCCATAAAAAGTCTCAAATCATAATCGGGAGTCAAACCAATTAGATCTGGTTGTCGAGTTTTATCAACGTTTTGAATTTCTTTGCTGTCAGATTCATTTCCATCCGTCGATAATCCTTTGAATTTACTTCGCAGATCTTTGATTTTATTGTGATAGTTACGTTGATCATTGGTTTGAATACCACCTTTCGGGGACTTTTTGCCTTGAAGTTGCAGCATACGTTTTCTTTCTTCATCTTTCTTTTTCTTCTCTTTGTAGGACTCTCTGAAGTAACAATTTTTAATAGGTATTATCTCAAAGAGTCAAACTATGGCATAATCACAATTTTTTGAATATTTTTTACTTACAAACATTCTTGTGCAGTTGTGTTGTGGTACAAAGGACATGCTTCTAAAGTAAAGTGAGCATCAAATTTACCAGAAAGATGACCACGAGAATCGCAAGCTGGCGAAAGCGGACATTCTCTTTCCTTCGAAATAACATGGGCAGAGCGCATTCTACTTGTAGTGCTGTGACTTTTCAAAGAAAAATTACTACTACATGTGGAACGACTTAAACCTAGTTGTTTAGAGGATAACGATGGACGTTTACTAGGAGATTTTGAAGCATGTCTTTTAACATCAGCTAAAATAAAAAAGATTTCGTTACTTGATTTCATTTTTTTTATTTTTTGATTTTCTCATAAATTGAGTTAAACAAATATTACCTGCATCAGACTCAGAGTCTGTTCCTGCTACTTTAGGCTGTATTAGAGCTTTTGATTTTCTTCTTGTTGGAGGCTTTTTCTTTTCTTTTAACGAAGCTTTTCTTTTTCCTTCTTCTTCTGCATCTTTATCTGTGTCCATATTTTCACTATCATTTTCACTCTTAATTTCACTTTTAATTTCACTTTTAACTTCACTTTTAATTTCATTTTTAACTGTATCTGTAATTTAAATTACAATGTTAGAATTTTGGTAACGATGTTTATAAAAAAATTGAATCAATTTTAAGATATTTACTTGGTTTTTTAACATTTTTCTGTGGTTTTACTGCAGCAACTGATGCTGCTGGACGTTTTGGAGTTGCAGTTGGTGTAGGTTTAGGAGTAGGTGGTATGTCTTTCTTTTTTGGAGGTGGTGAAGAAGTATCTTCGCTGTCGGATGAATCAGAGTCAGAACTACTATCTGATGATCCGGAGGAGCCTGACTCTGAACCTGAACTTTTAGAGCTTGCTGAACTATCAGATTTTGCAACTTGTCTTGTGACTATACCTGAAGATATTAATTGAATTCATTAATTTCAAAGAATTTAATCTATAATGGGCACGTTTATATGCAATTGAAACTTACTAGATCTAGTAGCTGCAGGAGCGCGTGGTTTAGATTCAGGGGTTGCTTTGGCTTGTTGTGCTTGAGATTTTTGTGAAGCTGTAGCAGTGCTATTTGTTTTAACATTAGATTTTTGTGGACTTCCAGAATCACTTTCACTACTATTCTCAGGGCTGAAGATACTTCTTTTCTTTAATTTTTTTGCAGGTGGTTCAAATGATTTATTACTTTTGTCTGATGCTTTGGCCGCCGATGTTATCGTTGCTAAAGTTGAAATAAAATTTTATTAAAAAAATCATATAATATATACCTTATAAATAAAACATGTATAAATGTATTGAAATTATCAACATACAAGGTAGTTTATTAGTTTTGTTAGATGATTTTGGTGGCGATGAATTTTTATTTGAAGTCACTGGACTAATTTTATTGATGGGCTTTTGTTGTTTTACAACCGGAGCAATTGCAGCAGTAGCTTTAGCTCTAGCAGGAGCTTTCCGTTTAGTAGGTGATTGTTTAGTTTTACCTGGAGATTCTTCAGATTCAGAAGAGTAAACAGCAGACTTAGATTTAGAGTTAATTTTTTCCTTGGTCCTTGCTTCATTTGTCGATGGTGTTGTATCAGTCTTTGTTTTGACATTTCGAGGTGTAGAAACTGGTACTTTTTTCTTTGATTTTTCAGAATCAGATGCTTTTTGACTAGCTGCAGAACTGCTAGAATTTTCAGAATCTGAAGAACTAGATTCGCTGCCAGAACTGGAAGAACTGCTAGATGATGAGCCAGAGCTACTAGAAGATGATGACTCCGAACTTGTATGCTGCAAAAAGTTCGAAATTTTCAAATTTGGCCAGTTCGTTACTTTAAGTAAATATTTATACTTTATAGTTTATGGACTTGTTTTGAAAAACATAACCTCAATAACCATGGTGCACTCACCTTTCGTTTTGGAGTCATTTTTGCTGTGCTACCTTCGTAAATGATGGTGATGTAAACTATTCATTTTAATATTATTCTTGGATGAAGAAATGATCCCACTCACTCACATAACTACGCTTAATTGTACATTGTTTACAAAATCCATGTTTGCCTTTCATTCATGTAAACTTGCGCGGAATATAAGCATATTAGCAATACACACGAATATACGAATGGCATAGCTACTGCTTGACAAAAATTTTGCTCAGAACTCTGCAGAGGGCGGTTTTATGATGCTCGATCGGTACAAACACGCGCCTTGCGGAGTGCCACCCGACATACGATTCGCAATATTATACTATCTTATAATACTGTAGTAAAAAATGCCAGTGAAGCATCATCAATGCACATATAAATTCAAATTTTCCAGAAAGTGTATCATTAGAGCTGTCAATTTAAGTAATTAAAACACGATTTAAAGAAATCATCAAACTCATTGAATTTTTAAGAATTATATCGATTTTATACAACCAGTTTTGAAATTTCATTTTTTTATTATTTTATTAATGAAATGTACAAGTAATATTCATTCTCTCAAATAAATTTAACAAACTGAAATATTTTTACAGAAAGTTTGATTTATTTAGAAAACATGGAAGTTTTATTTTCTTCCGTTATCATTTCCGAATGCTTTGGTTGAACTTTGGTAACTATGAACCACCAACAATATTTCAATTAGAATTATATTTTTTAATTAAATGCTCAACAACTGTATAATATAACATCAATAAATAACTAATAAATAATAACATATACTAAAAGTACAGAATTAAGCTTTGTTAAATCCATTAGGATTATTTTGTTGCCATTTCCAGGTATCAGCACCTATGAGAAGAAATTTCCATGAATAATTTATAGTGATAAGAATGAATAGATCATCAAACAATAAAACTTACACATGTCATCAATATCTTTAACTGCTACCCAGTCTAATAAATTTTTAGCTAAACTAGCATCAGCGTAACTCGATGCTATATCACCAGGTCGACGGCCTACAATTTCATAAGGTATTTTCTTTCCAGAGGCCTTTTCGTATGCAGCTATTATTTGTAGCACAGATAATCCTTTGCCAGTTCCAAGATTGATTGGTTGAAAACCCTTAGGACTTTTTTGAATTTGATAAACCAATGCTTTTACATGACCTGATGCTAAATCCATGATATGTATGTAATCACGAACTCCTAATTATATTAACAAATTTTTTAAATAGTGCCTTTGAAAAGAGAATTTTAAATTGTTAGAGATTGAAGTAAAATAGTACCAGTTCCATCAGGAGTGTCGTAGTCATTGCCATACACAGAAAGTTTTTCACGCTTTCCAACAGATACTTGAGCAATAAAAGGCATCAAGTTATTTGGGATACCATTTGGATCTTCACCGATTTCACCAGAAGGATGAGCTCCTACTGGATTAAAATATCTTAAAGATATTACAGACCAATCCTGCATTTAACAAAAAATGTATTAAATATCTGTTTCAAAATATATTTTTAAGTTATCAGATTTTCTTACTTTTTTGGTTTGGCATAGATCTTTTAAAATTTCTTCTACCATGAATTTAGTCTTACCATAAGGATTTGTACAGTCACCAGTTTTCATTTCTTCAGTAAGTGGCAATTTTTCAGGTACTCCATATACAGTAGCGCTGCTTGAATAAATAAATTTGTCTACATTGTAGTCTTTCATGACTTCTAAGAGGTTTAATGTTCCTCCAACATTTACTTGGTAATACTGAAGTGGAATTGTGCATGATTCACCAACAGCTTTGAGAGCAGCAAAGTGTATTACACAAAAAAATTGATGCTAGAATATATTAAAATTATAGAATATGGTAATCAACACAAGAAAAGACGCATATGAAAATTGTATATTTACATTTTTGAATATTTCGGTTAAGGCTCCTTTGTTTGTTATGTCACAATCCACAAAAGTTACTTGTTTACCAGTCAACTTTTCAACTCTTACGATGCTTTCTGGTTTTTGACTGTCTTTACCTGAAAATTTAAATTTTAACTTTAATAATTTATTCAAAATAATAATAGTCAATTTGAGAAATTTCAAATGTTGCAATTATACAATAGTTTACCTTTGAAGGCATTACATAGATTATCTATAACTACCACCTTGAAACCAGCATTCAAAAGCTCCAAAACAGTATGTGAGCCAATATAACCAGCACCGCCCGTTACCAAAATATTACGATTTTCATCAGTCATGGTTTTGAACTTACAAGATGCCACTACTCAACAGAGAATCCAATCTACAAAACATAAGTTACAGAGAATGTTCACAACAGTTGTTAGTATTGATAAGTGTGCGAGATAGATAAGGTATCAACCTAAATAGCTCAAGAGATAAATGTCAATGATAAAAAAAAAACTGTGATTCTCGTTATGTTTGTTATAAACTAAACTGTCAGATGCACACGTGCAAAAGTGCGAATTACCCAAAAGCTGTTAAAGTCCACTATTATTAAAATAAAGCACTAACCTCATTGAACGAGAAGCTCCGATAAACTGACATTATATCTTGGTGCGCACTTGACTTTGACTATCATTAGCCGTGGCAATAAATTTTTGCTTACGTAAGTTTAAAAACGTCATGCGCTGGCATTTGATATACAATACACACAACACGCGTGGCAATGCTTTATATTTCTTTAGGCTCGGTATTATATTCTGAAACGCTTCCTGATTGCAGCGCAAAACGCTCGCGTAGCAGAACGTAAACATGCTTATAGGAGTTTTATACAAATTGACAAGTTATCCCATATTCCCATATGGAACTACCTTACCGACTCTACTCGATCAATGCTAATATGAATTAAAATTAAAAAGTCTTTCTATTGGCTTTTTTGTGTGTTGTATCGGCAATAAAAGCATTTAGTCAATATAAATTGACTGAATAAATCTTAGCTACTATTTTTCAGCAAAATTTTGAACGGTGTTGCCCAATGTTTTCAGCTTTGCAGAACGACTCTATTTTGCGTGATTATAAAAAAACGCATCGATAAAATCTTTTCAAAAACTAGGAGATGATTGTTCAGTATGTACTAAAACATGGCTCAAAACCTGGAAAAACTTGACCAAATAGTTTTTGAGAAAAGTTAATGTAAAAACATTGCAAAAGTAAAAATTTAAATTTTTTGACCTGAAACCCACTTTTTAAGGTTTTTAGGGTCATTTTAAACAAAAAAGTGCTCTTGCAAATTTTCTCTAAAATCGATTGTTAACGAGCTATAAACGATTCAAATTTAAACAATTTCAAGCAATGAATCTTTGCGATTTTTTATCTCAATAATCATGAACTCTACGAAAAATTTTAAAAGAACAAAAAAGTCTTAGAATTTATCAAGGAAAGCGTATGAATTTTTTCAGATTTTTTTTAGAAATATGCCCAAATTTTTCAGTTAGGTCTGAGGGAACATCCTTAACACAGTGCTATAAAATGTTGTACGATACTCGTATCATGGGGACACTTTTCGGCCCAGCTATTAGAACCCTCGCTGCGCTCGAGTCCTAAACTACGCCGTACCAAAAGCGTTACTTATGGCACTCGTATCGTAAGGTACTAGATGCGTATGAGCAGTATTTACACGCTAGGATTATAACCGAAATAGTTCATTCACGTGATGTGCTCCTAAGTAGCTACATGTGCTTCTATAGTAATTAGCTTCGCCCACGTGTTTTTATGTGTCATATATTATAAATCATAGCGTATACTGCTAAAGTCCATTGCAATAAATCAGTGCTATACAGTGGGAAATATTACATTAACTGTGGTTTTCGAAAAAAGGTAATTAATATTCATTTTTATTTTATTATTAGTACATTACGTGCTTAGGAAGCGAAAAACTGGAAAGTCTCAGAGCACGTGTATTTATCGTCCGAAGCCGATGAACATGTGCTCTGCAAAAATTAAAATTTATTCGTGAATTAAAATAGTTTTAATTCATAAATCAACTGGATTTATGATTTATCGTTTTTTTAATTGATTATTTTCAATCCTTTCTTGGAGTACTCAAAGTATGTCCAGAGACAAGAGTAAACCTAAAATTTTAACGTGATCCCATGTAGATAAAAATGTCTAGCTGCATTCTCATTTGCAACAAATAAAGGCTTGGATATTTATTTTTTAACTTATACCTCTTTCATATAATGATTGTAAAGTATTAGCCCAGCTTATCTTGAACAAGGCATAAGTGCAGATAGGGTAAAAACACCTATTACTGTACCCAAGACATAATCTTCAATATTCCTATTACTGGACATTTGATTACATATTAAAATCCAGTAATACGGACAGGCACAGGAATAGGTGCTTTTATCCTAGTAGCCTTAAATGTACAGGTCTAGGCTCGACATGTAAAGAAGTAATTCAAAGATATTCATTTTTTAACTTTTACCTTTGAAAAGTATGAAATTTATTGACTAGAATAGTTGATAAAAAATATTAGCATAAGTACAGGTACTAGCTACTCAAAATAAAGTCTGAGAGTATCATGAGAAAATTATGATAATAATGATTATTTATCTCATGGTACTAACTATGGTAGCAACACGAAGCACAAATATGCATCTTTCCAAAAAAGTTTATGTCATCGTTTCTTACCTCCCAGAGAAATAGCATAAGTTTAGAAATGGTTATCCTAAAAACGACTTTTGAGAAATGCTCACCTTTTCAGCGCATTAAATTGGGTAGCGCTACTACCTGCACTTATCCCAGTATTTTTTTTATCAACTATTTTCGTCAATAAATTTTATACTTTTCAACGGCATAAATTAAAAAATGAATATCTTCAAATTACTTTTTTTACATTTCTAGCCTAGACTTGTATACTTGAGGCTACTATGTGCACTTATTCAAATTATTTTATAAAATCATCATTTTATGAAAAAGGTATGAAAAATAAATATTCAAGGCTTTAATTTATTGTAAACACAAGGACGCCTGTACATTAATATCTACATGGGATCACGATAAAATTTTAGGTTTAGTCTTGTCTCTGGACATACTTTAAGTACTTCAAGAGGCATGAATAATAAAATCGTTATGCAAAATCTGTCATCATCTGTCGGTCAATAATTAGTCCGGACACAGAGGAGGTTTTCGTAGCCGATTTAGCTTCACACAAACGAACAATGGTTTTTAACGTATTTTGGCCTGCTGAATTCAAATATAAAACTCGTTTTTTTCGAAAACGTGTGCAAAAAAAAATTATTAACAATTTTAGTGTTAATAATTTATAAAATTGTTTTTAAAAAATCTGTGAAATTCACATATTCGAATAATTATAGATTACATATTCGGATTCAACAGGCCAAAATACGTCGAAAACCATTGTTCGTTCTTGTGAACCTCAATCGGCTACCAAAACCCCCTCAGCGTCCGGACTAAATCTACTAATTTTATATTGTAAGCGTTTTTAATATTGCCGCATAATAATACTGTGTTTGTATATTAGCTTGCAGAACTATGTATGAATCAACGGATCACCCAGAGGCAGCTCAAAGTAATAACGATCTCATGATGGAAATAGAAAGAGCAAAAAAAGAAAAAATCATGCGTGACCTCAACGGTGACAATTTTTTTGAATTTGAGGATATGCTTGCTTCGATTGACTGGGATTGCAGAGAGTCCCGATATCAATTTCTTCATGAATTTAATACACTGATCTACAATTGGAAAGGCGAACTTCCAAATCTCTGCGACGTATTACACCCCATAGTAATCGAACGACTTCTCTTTGATTGTATAAATTTAAAATTGAGAGACAACAAAACCTATCAAGCAGAAAATTTTATTACGTATGTGGCTCTCGCTGGCTACAAGGACAAACCTAAAGTTGGAGAAGACGGCAAGCCATTGTTGCGTCGCACCACACCACTGCATTACGCACTCAGACGCAGGTTCCATAAATGGTCTGTCGTGATTTATTGCCTCCTTAAAATATACGTCAGATCGGAAGTGCATTACACCGACGAGTTTGGCTACACTTATTTCGACATAGCCTGCATGGTAGGATGTTACGACGCAGTTGAGAAACTTATCGGGCTGGGTCAAGATGTCAATTGTCTGGGACGAAAATCGGTCGTTCCACCACTACACTTGGCTCTGCATTGTGGCCGGGAAGCGGTGGTCGAGTTGCTGCTGAGAAACGGGGCTGACCCGAATTCGCCTTGTGAGCACAAATTTACGCCTCTGCACGTTATTGGCCAGACGGGTAACTGCGCATATACATTTTTCGGGATCATCGAAGAATTGAATCTGAAAGTGAAGGTCAATGCCAGGAACGAGGTGGGCAACGCACCGTTGCACTTGGCTTTAGCTCGCCAAAGGTTGTGGATGTCCAAATGGCTGCTGAAAAACGGTGCGGATCCAAATTTAGCCAATGCAATGGGATTGACTCCTCTGCATATTATTTGCAAAACGGAAGATAATCACCGTTTGGGTTATATGTTATTCGAGATCACTAACAAATTAAATCGACACGTGGAGCTTGATGCCTGCGACAACGTGGGTAATACGCCGTTGCACACGGCAGTGGTCAACAACAACATGAAATTGGCCGAATTGTTGTTAAGAAAAGGCGCAAATCCAAATTCGGCTAACGATAAAGGAGAGACTCCTCTGCACATTATCTGCCAGGGTTACTCCAAAGGTTGTGCCATGGCAAGGCTATTCTTCGAGGTCATCGGCGAAAAATCTCAAAAGGTGCAGGTCAACGCCCGGGACAATATCGAATCATTCTTAACTAACTACTTGTAACTTAAGATTGGATACATGTGTTAGTTTTGGTACAATGATAACTTCGTTTTGTCCGTAACACGTCTCTGTCAGCTTCCGAAGTTTCCTTTAACAATGAATGTTATAATAAAATTAAATCTGTATAAAAATTGAATTCATGACTTTTTTGTTTTAATTTTATTTCAGTTTCATTAACAAGGAGACCACATGAGATGCGGGTCACCAAATGTCCTGAAATTTTTTTTCTGGTCTCTTGGTACCTAATAATGAAGCCCACTATGCTTAGGTTGGTCCAATGAGCCTTAGGGCCCACTAGAAAAATCATTTTCTAATTTATTGAAAAATCATTGTGATTTTCTAACCCGTAACAGAACATCTTAAACGAAAAATTGCAAAATGTACAAGTCTTAAAATTAGTCAAAGAATACATTTGAATTTTTTCAGAAATTTTGAAACCTACTATCACTTATTTTCAAAGGTCTCTGAAATTCTTAAGAAAAAAGTAAAAACGCGTTAAATTTGGGCCTTTGAAAATAGGTGATAGCAGGTCTCGAAAATTCCGAAAAAATTCAAATGTATTCTTTGACTAATTCTAAGACTTGTACATTGTGCAATTTCCCGTTTAATATGTCCTATTACGAGTTAAAAAATCACAAAGATTTTTCAATAAACTAGAAAATGATTTTTAAAATGGGCTCTAAGGCCTATTGGATCAAACTAAGCATAGGGGGCTTTATTATTAGATACCAAGAGACCAGAAAAAAATTTTCAGGACTTGTAAGTATTGGCCGATTAGCCGGCATAAAGCGCGTGAAAACCACACCTTTTTTTCTTTCTCTCGTAAATATCGTTAAAATTCTACAACGCTCCTTCAAAAAATGTCAATATCGATGAAAAATGTCCTGTTTTTTTATCTAAATTACTTTAAATAATTTTAAAATGTAGGTTTTTGAGATAATCGGCTTTAAAGGTTTCCCTCAAATTTTCCCGGGAAACAGAAAAAGTCAGGAAAAATAAACTTGCATGAAATTTACTAAATATTTTTAAATTTTTTCGAATTATCCGTCAATTTCACCCGATCAGAAAAAGCCTGACTCAAGCCTGATCTGATCATCCGGCCCGTATCAAGCTGGCGATCCGGCCCGTAGAGCGGGGGTAATCATGTTCTCATCCGGCCCGGATCTTGCCCGGAGGATAGTGTGAACATAACCTCCACTATGCGATTGAATCCTATGAATGTAGCTAGCATGATTATATTATTTTTTAACACCGTGCACATGTTGACAGTGTCAGTTGGCAATGAACCACGAGCACAACTTAATTTGATTTATATATTTCGTCTAATTTGATTAATGTAGTCCGTCTGTAATTTCTGTAATAGTAAGAATAGACGAAAAGTTGAATATACATCGTTTGAAAAATGATTAAAAGCGATAGTCTTGACGAAAGTTTCAATGATGTTTTGATGAAAATGATGTCGTTGAAGTCTGTGTAGATAAAATACGCTCATCTGTGATTGCTAATGCTTTGAAAGAATTATTCATCATACAACATTCAATACATTGTTGAAAGTTACTCATAATATTCATACTATATTATAAGTATGAATTGAAAAGCAATTCGATTGCGAGTATATACTTGCATCCGATCGCTCAAAACATGCAGACTTTTGAGCAACTAATGGCGCTACAATCATGTCGCGAAGGGTTATGTTTACACTATACTCCGGGCAAGGTCCGGGCCGGATAAGATAGTGATTACACCCGTAAAATTCCCCTGATTTTACCCTGATCCGGGCGCTTATTTGAAGATCCGGGCCGGATCTTGGCCTGAGAGGCTGTTTCTGTTCGGGCATCATCAGCATCGGTGGTTCAATGGTAGAATGCTCGCCTGCCACGCGGGCGATCCGGGTTCGATTCCCGGCCGATGCATTTATTTTTAGATTTTTAATTTATTTTACATTAATATACGTACTTAATGCCTACTTTGCCTAGGTCTCTCCTAAAATGATTCTTTTGCTATGTCATCTATTATGCTTTTGCGCGCAACAGTTTTCTAGTGAAGAAAAATAAATAGATTGCTTCAAAATGTACTCCTGTTCATAAAAAGTTAAACTTAAAATTAAAATGAAGGAAATAAAGAGTCGAAGAAGATCGTCATTCTGCCGAAATGCATCGGTGCAAAACAATATAGGTTATCAAGGATAATGTCTAATCCATAGGACTAAGTTATCTGCTTCGTGCACTTGTTGCACGATATTTTTTTAAAAATAGCTTCAGTTGTGACGAATGCAATGGAAAGGAAAGGAAAAATCCAATAATAAAGTTTTGAGTTTAAAGTGGATAGTTTAAGGATACAATTAGGGTATGAAAAAATTTATTCATAAATTGAAACGAGCGGTTGTCTCAATCAAATTCAAGACACTCGCACTCATGTCACATGTCATACAAATTTTCATACATTTATAAAAATGTTTTGAAAAAGATTTGAATGTTTTAAATGGGAAAATAAAGTTATGAGAAAGGTTTCATTATTCCACTTTACCAATATGTATTTGAAAAATATTTAATAAAAATTTCATCAATGATATCGTGTTATAAATGAATACTTCTGGGATCCAGTGGATATTATATCAACAATGAATTAAGGTATTCACATTAATTAATGTGAATAATGAAAGTGGCTTTTTAAAAAATTTTTATTTATTTTTATTATTATTTTTTAATACATTATGTACAAAATAAAATAGAACAGCTCTATAGATACAATTGATTCAATACTGTATTTAAATAAATATTGAATACTTGAGGCAAAAATTATTATTTCTCAAATATTGAACAGATGCATTTTACGATATTACGATACATGATTAATGTTATTTCTTAGAAAATTTATTGACAATCTTTGCCAAGTGTTTCAGACTTTTGTATATGAGAATGAAAAAATACGCCGAAAGCAAGGACAGTATGTATGTATTTTGAGAAGGGGAACCTCCACCCCTTTCAGATAAAAAAAGGGTAGCCTCACCCCTTTTTCGTAAAAAAGCAACTATAAAGGGTTTCGAAACGGTAGAACTATTGTCCGATCATTCACTATTGCTAGGTCAATAATACAAAATAGTAATAATTCTGTTCAAATTCTAAAAATCGCATTTTATATTGTTTGTTAAAAATTCAGTTGTTACCAACCGGTAAAAATTTTACCTGATTCGATCATGTCACAATGGCAAACGAAAAATAAAAAATAAAGGGTAGGGTGACAATTTTTTCTCTTCCAAGTCAGATAAGTACAACCAGGGTGTACCCCTTTTTCGAAGTATTTAAATATAAAACGAGGGAAGGAAAACATGGACCAACGAATACAAAGTAGGGAGGCTTGCATCTCTTTCTGGCTACCCTGAGAGTAGTTATATGGAATGGTACCAACCAATAGGAGCTCTCCGTGAGTATCGTAAGCTGAGGCTTTAAAGCTATATCTATAGGTCTCAGTTAAAGGATAGAAGGATTCAGTCATGTTTAAGCCTTCACAAGCTGCACATTGTAGTCAACAATTCTTTTTTTTTTAAATTAATAAGAAAAAATTTTTCTATTAGTGCAAGAAATTTAAAAACGAAATTTTACACAAAAAATTAGAAGGGTTAAAGTTTGTTTTTGTATTTTTTATATAAAAAATTCATTAAGATAAAAGTTATTTTCACTTCAAAATTTAAATATTTTTGTTCAACTCCAGCTAGATTTTTTTTAAATATTGCTATTTCAAATATTGCTGGATTGTTGGATTTTAATTTTAGATTTACAGAAAAAGTATAAATATTGATTTTTTTAATTCAAAAATATTATATTTATGTTTATAATTATTCATTTTGTAAAAAAAATAAAATCATTTTTGTCTATATCAGATATTCATTTCAGTTTTGAGATAAATTATGAGATAATATGGACCAAGAAGGTTACTTTAAGTAAACATGATACAAATGAACAGTAGTACTTGAAATTGTTTTTTTAATATACAGCTAAAATGAATATTCAATGGGTGGAGCTAAAATCACTACCTGCCATTTTGCATATTATCTGTTCGTAAGAGACCTTCGTCAGTTGTGAATGTGTATCAGTTTGTGTGTAGTGATTTGTTTGAAGTTATATATTTTTTATTTTATCTGATTATTTTACAAATCGAGTGAATAGCATCAGTTTAATCAAATTCATTATTTTACGTTTATTTCAACACAAAAATTTAGCTAAAACCATCACAAAGTTAATTGTTCTAAATTTCAGTGATTAAATTCAATTATAAGAAGATCCGTAAATGCAAAAAGTGAATTAAAATTGCTCCTATAGCATGTAAGTAACATAATATAATATTAAAATTAAGTTAATGATTCATGTTATAATGTCAATCAATAATTACTTAAATTACTAATCATAATAATAACTAAGAAGTTTAAATGTAAAATTTAAACTCATGCTGAAGATTTTACAAAAAATTTGTATAGTTCTCAGTTTACCTTCAAAATGAAATTATTGAAATCTTTTGTTGTAAGATTTGTTTGAAAGATATAAGGTGACATAATGAAATGATTTGTAACTCATTTTTTTACGAGTTAATAGAATTTAATAGGAAGCCGCTTGCAAATGATTATCTAGAAAAAAAGGTTTCATTTTTGGCGATAATCATAGAGTAAAATTTTACAATCATCTGGAGTTAACCAATTTATAATTATTTAAAAGTACTCTAATCTTGAAAAAAAAACTATGAATGAGCTACTTTTAAATTACTTTTAAATTGGTCATGAAAATATGTAAAAATATATATCTACGTAAATGAAAAATATTCTGTTCAAAATCATCAAATAAAATGTTGAATGAATTTTAATTGAACACAAAATGTGACGTACAACCAGTATAAGAAAGCCACAAGCTTACTTCGGTGCTTCCGTCGCTACTTTCGTTATAGACATTGAAATCAATTCTATACAACCATTAAAAATCATAAATCATTGTTAAAGAAGTAGCAACTGCGTTTTC